ATTCATTGAGAGAACTGTATTAGCTTTTTAAAAGAATTGAAGAAGACCAAGACAAAGTCCTGTAATGCACATAACTGAAGCTAATTTTTTGATGGAAACTGTGCCTCAGGATCCATTGCTAGTCAAAAGAAGAGGTAATGAGTATTATAAGGCCAGTTTTACAATAGATCTGTCTCCAGAAGTACAGACTTGCACATCCATCTGCCTACAGAAAGCATCCTCCTGGATTCCCATAGATATTCACGTTCATCAGCGAGCTAACTTATTGTCTCCCAAGGCCACTTCTCCTCTGGAACTTCCTGTCTACAACTATCCGAATCACCATTCATAAGGCTGTGCAAGTTAGAAATTGAGGCTACATCCTTTATCTGGACTTTCACCTTGACCTCCTAATACTAATAAACTACCGAGTTCCACGCATTCTGTCTCCTTCCTCACATTTCCACCAACACTGTCATTACATCACTCCAAGCGACCGTCATATGTAACCTGACCATTGTTGCTGCTCTGATCTTGTCTTCTAGGACTGGCACAATTTGACAGGAAAAAAAAAGGAACTATAATATGATGTCTGCTTTACTGGAAATAAGAGCAAAGTGCAAAAGAAACTTGGAGGAGGGAAAAATTAGTTCCAGCTTTGATGGGCATAGGCTTCTGAGAAATACTTTGAGACAGAGGAAAAATATTTTCAAAGACAAATATTGGCTAGGAAAGGACACTAAGTAGAAGAAACTGCATAAGCAAAAGTATGTTTTCCAAAATCAGGGTAGTCTAGACTGAGAAGACTCTTCTGTGCGCTGTGTACTAGTTTGCTGGGGCTGCCGTGACGAAGTGCCACGGGACTGGTGGCTTCAACAATACACGTTTGTTTTCTCACAATTCTGGAGGCGAGAAGTCAAAGATCAAGGTGTTGACAGGGTTAGTTTCTTGCAAGCCTCTCTCTCTGGCGTGTAGATGGCTGTCTTCTCTCTGTGTCTTCACAAGACCTTTCTTCTTTCTGTGTGCATGTGTGTCCTAATTTCTCTTTTTTAACAGTAAGCAGCGAAGTCAACTTTTTTTTTCCAGCTTGGGAGATACGGCCCATTTACTTACTTGTTTTGTTGTATTTTTAGAGTGTACAACATGACTATATATATATATATTTACATTTATATACATACACATGCACACATACCTTGTAAAATGATTACCACAATCAAGTTAATTAACACATCCATTACCTCACCTGTGTGTGTGTGGTGAGAACACTGAAGACCTACCCTCTTAGCAACGTTAAGTGCATAATACAGTATATGGTAACTGCAGTCACCATGTTGGAAATGTGCACCCTTTGACTAATATCTCCCCCAGCCCCTAGGCTCTGGCAACCGCTATTCTACTCTGCTTCTATGGGATTGAGTTTTTTAGATTCCACATGTAAGTGAGATTACGTAATATTTGTTTTTCTGTGTCTGGCTTATTTCATTTAGCATAATAGCCTCCAGTTCCATCCATGTTGTTGCAAATGGCATGACTTCCTGCTATTTATGGCTGAATAATATTCCGTTGTATGTATATATCATGCAGTGCAGCCTTTGACAGACGCTAAGGCTGTTTCCATATCTTGGCTATTGTGAATAATGCTGCAGTGAATGTGGGAATGCAGATATATCTTTGAGATACTAATTTCATTTTCTTTGGTTCTATACCCAGAAGTGGGATTGATGGACCATATAGGAGTTCTAATTTTTATTTTGAGGGACCTCCGAATTGGTTTTCATGATGATTTTAACAGCTTACATTCCTAACAGTGTACGAGGGCTCCCTTTTCTCCGTACCCTCGCCAACATTTGTTATCTCTTGTCATTTGATAATAGCCATCCTAAAAGGTATGAAGCGATATCCCGCTGCGTTTTTGATTTGCATTTCCCTGATGATTAGTGATGCTGAGCGCCTTTTCTTACACCTGTCGGTCACTTGTATGGCCCTGTGCCCAACTTTTAATCAGTTTATTTTTTAAATTTTAGTTCAGTTTGCTATTGAGCTGTATGAGTTCCTCACATTTTTGGATATTAACGTCATGATACATGTCTTGAAAACATTTTCTCCAATTTCATAGGTTGCCTTTTCATTGTGTTAATTGTTTGCTGTTACAGAAGTTTTTTTGGTATGATACAGTCCCGTTCATTTCTTTTGTTCTTCATTGTTGTGCTTTTGGTGTCATATCCAAAAAGTCCATTGTCAAGTCTAATGTTAGGCAGGTTTTTCTCTCTGTTTTCTTCTAGGAGCTTGATGGTTTCAGGGCTTATGTCTTTAATCCACTTCAAGTTAACTTTATGGTATAAAATAGGGTCCAGTTGTATTATTTTGCATGTGGGTGTCCAGTTTTCCCAATGCTGTTTATTGAGGAGACTTTCTTTCCCACTGTATAATCTTAATGCCCTTATTAAAGATAAGTTGGCCATGTATGTATGGGATTTATTTCTGGGTGCCCTATTCTGTTCCACTGATCTAAATGTCTGTATTTATGCCAATACCATACTGTTTTTAATGAATATAGTTTTGTATATAGAGACTGAAACCAGGAAATTTCAGCTTTGTTCGGCTTTCTCAGTATTGCTTTACTACTTAACTCTTTTGTGTGTCTATATGAATCTTAGGGTTATTTTTTTTTCTATTTCTGTGAAAAATGCCATGGGATTTTTGATAGGTGTTACATTGAATCTGTAGATAACTTTGGGCAGTGTGGACATTTTAACACTATTAATTATTTCAGTCCATGGACACAAGCTACCTTTCCATTTACTTGTGTCTTTTTTCAATTTCTTTCATCATTGTCTTGTAGTTTTCAGGGTACAGCTCTTCCATCTCCTTGGTTAAATTTATACCTAAGTATTTTTTTTGATGCTATTGTAAATGGAATTGTTTCCTTAATTTCTCTTTTAGATAATTCCTTGTTAGTGCACCTAATCTTCTTTTTTTAAAATAAGGACACCAGACTATTTGATTAGGGCCCTAATGACCTTATTTTTAACATTCTTAGGATTAGAAGTTCAGTACCTGCATTTTTAAGACTTAATTACCATATTTACCTTTTTGTGGCCTCTCTGTTAATTCACATCTAGTTAGCAATTATCCATACAATTCATTCAGTTTTTAAAGATATATTGCCTTAAAGACTCCATCTCCAAATACAGTTACATTCTGGGGACTGGGATTTCAACATGAATTGTGCAAGGACAAAATCATTCCATCACAGGCTGTTATATTTCAGAGTCTTGGAGGAACTAAGCTAGAAAGGCAGGTAGGAGTCAGATTGTAAAGAACTTTGAAGAAAGGAATTTGGACAGTTTCCTGAACTAATAAAGAGTTACTTTAAGCAAGGATATGCCTTGATCAGACATGCATCTAAGGTCACTGACAGTATGAGGTCAGTAGCCCACACAGAGGAAAAACTGGAGATATGAAGGTCATTCAGGAATCTACTGTAGTGGGGTGAGGTAAGGATGATGAAGGTCAGAGTGAAGACATTGTCTAAGGGGTATGGAAAAGAGATGAGAAGTTTGAGAAACATTTTGTTCATAGAACTGAAGGGACTTGAATGGGAAACCTAGAGACCCCGGGTCTCTAGCCTGGTTGACTGAGGACGGTAGTGTCATGAATTAAAATCTAGAACACATGTGGACTCTGAGGGGTTACAGATTATCCAAGGAAGAAGGGCTCTGCCGTCTAGGAGAGACAACTGAGTTGAAGGCACAGCACAGATGTGATAGTTGAGGTCAGAGTTGAGATCAGTCTGGGAGTGTGCCTGTGACAAGGGAAAAAACCATCCAAAAGAGGAACCATGGAGAAGTGCAGCACTTAAGGGGCAGGTGGAAGGGAGAAGTCAGAAAGAGAGGAGGAAGAACAGAAGAGTGTCCCAGTTGTCAAACAGGAAAAGTTCAATAAAAACCGATCAAAAGGTCAATCAAAAACAGCAGAGTGAGAGAATTTAAAAGATGCCATTGAAGTGGGCTTCCCAAAGAGAAGTTATGGGAGAGGAGTGGAAATAGAAACTTGATACAGTAGGTTTGGGAGTGAAGAGGAATTTGGAGGTAGGAAGACAGGATTTAGACCATTTCTAGAAACCTGGCTACGAAGAGAGGAAGGAGCTAGGAGGCAGTTGAGGGCGAGTTATGAGTTGCCATCCCAGCCTGGTTTTCATTCCCATAGAGTAAGTAATTACCAGGTGGGGAATTCTGCCCCATACCTTCTATCAGAATGACAAGCTGTGTGACCTCCATCTGTGTTGCCACAAAGCCCTCCTTTGTACCTCGACAGTGAACTATACATACTTCTGTCTCAGGATTGATCGATCGATTGATCGATCGATCGATCTATCTATCTATGGTTCTTGTTCAAATCTTGTCTTCCCGTATCATACCATTAACACCTCAACAACAGAAATTGTGTCTGATTCATCTTTATAGTCCCTGTGTTGTATACATTGTATAAATGTGCTGAGGAGGAAGGGGGGGGGAATAAAAGAATTAAGGCTGGAGCATTTATTCTGGGCCAGGTGCTGTGCTAGGTATCTTTCTTGAACTAATCTTTATGCAGTCATTATTATCGCCATTTTACAGCTGAAGACACCGAGGCACTGATATAGTAAGTGGCCCGCCCAAAGTCGCGGAGTTAGCAAACAGCTGAGCGTGCATCTGAACTCAGGCATTCGGAATCAAAAGCCCGTGTTCTCAACTGTGTAAAATCAACTGTGTTATTTTTAAAATTTAACCTATAAAAGGGGACATACTGGAAATGCTTTGACATATTTATTTTCTAAAAGAAAAAGAGCCAAAGCCAACAAGAGCTACATTAGATCTGCTGAACTGCATCTCGATCGCCTTGCATGGTGCAAAACAGACCATATGACCATCCCATCACTCCTGGAGTGTCGCGTCCTGTTTAGCTGTCAGGTTTGTTGGTTTCTTAAATCAACCAGTCACAGACCATCACCTAAAATATTTTTCACTGTCAGGTTCTAGAGCATAAAATTAGTCTTTATTGCTTTGACTATTACTGATTTCAAAGGCCAAGGATCATGTAGCAATGGCAGCTGAGCCGGGACCAGAAGGGCTCCCCCAATGAAATGAATTTTTTCTGATGGCTTTCGTTGGAGTGCTGATGTGAAGGAATTGTCTGGGCTCTGGGATGTTTCCTTAGGGCTGGGAAGGCCAGGCACGTGGACTGCTTTTCACCCTCAGTACTTCTTCCTGTGAGCTGGGCCATGTCACTGAGTCTGGGCCCACGCACTAGGCACACAAGGGGGGTCTTGGCCAACCAGACCTCTGTTCAGGGTTTCGGGTGCTGGAATCCTGGGGGTCTCCAGGCTGAGAGTCAAGGTGCTTCCCAGGCAGCCTCCAAAGCAGTAAGTCTCCCCAACAAATCACACAAGAAGGAAACAAAGTTGTCGGTGGCTTTTCTTTCCAATGGTACCTATTCTGAGTATAAAGAGAACCGTTGGCTCCATTCATAAAATTGAACTTAGATCAGCCTTGGTTCAAGATAATGGAAAAGGTCAGACCATGTTTCAACTTTTCTCTGAAGTCACTTACCCTTTCCTGATCTTTTACTAATTATCTGCTCCTGTCACCCTGGCCTCAGAAGAATTTCTGTAGCAGTCTCAGTGGGTTTAGTGAAAAATCTCAAGGCAAAGGTGCACTTTGAAGGACAGGAGTGGAGAAGGCCCGGCTGGCCTGCTCCCCGCCACGTGGATGTCTTCTGTAATAAGGACCACGTGTTGAGGGCTATTTGTGAAGCCTCGTGTCTAAGCCTTCAGATGTATCCCCTGCAGTATCTCCTTGACTTTGACACTACGGGAATCCATCACTTTAAAGATAAGAAAACTGAAGCTTAGAGAGGTTAACTGTTGTTGTGGGATGAATTGTGTCCCCCTAAAAGATATATCGAAGTCCTAACCCACAGTACCTGTGATCATGACCTTGTTTGGAAATAGGGTCTTTGGAGATGTAGCCACGTTCAGATGAAGTCGTTAGGGTGGGGCCTTAATCCAACAGGACTGGTGTCCTTATAAGAAGAGGTAATTCGAACGCAGAGGCGGACATGCACAGAAAGAAGATGGTGTAGAGACACAGGGAGAAGATGGCCACGTGACAACGGAGGCAGAGACTGGAGCGGCACACCTGCAAGTCAAGAAGTGCCAAGGATTACAAACACCAAGAGCCAGAGGAGGCAAGGAAGCAGTGTCCTTCCAGATCCTTCAGAGGGAACGTGGCCCTGCTGACACCTTGATTTTGGACTTCACGCCTGCAGACCTGCGAGACAATAAGTTTCCATTGTTTTAAGCCATCCCATCTCACAATCCTTTATTATAGCAACCCTAGAAAACTAATACGACTGTCTGACCCCAAAACCCATGTTCATAGCTTCTACGCCTTACTGCCAAAGGGCCAAGGCAGCATCGAGTAGAAACAGTCAATGCTACCTCTTTTACAGAGAAAGTGCCCTTGGATTCTGCCTCCAAGGATGAGGGTGAATTTGTTAGATGAGAAAGGGAGGAAAGAGAAATTCAGGACAAGCATGAAAGACAATGAGAGAGGATGCTGTGCTTCAGGAATAAATATGGCTCATACCTGGGGTGAAGGAGCTGTGCATGGCAAGGAAATGCGACCATGCCAGACACCTCCACCTTCTGGGAAAGTCCTCGGTGCAGACTTGCAGGTGAGCTTCCATGTTGGGGTGCATCCAAAGAGAAAGGATGGCTACAGCCTGTGCTTGAATCATGGGGGCTGCTGCCCTGCAGTTTAATGCTAGAGCTTTCGTGGCAGTGCATCCTTCTGGCATAGTCAATGGACTTAGCCGGGGCGAGCTGGAAGATTCCATCAGCAAAGGAATCCACCAGATAAGGAACGTTTTCCTTCCTTGTCATTAAGCACTGGCTCTTAATTAAGTTGTCTTCCGCCCACTTGATCGGAAAAGAATACTAAGAAGTGCTTTTCCGGGAAAATGTTTATTTCTCCTCCCATCCCCTTAACAGCCACCCTCCTTCCCCACCCCCAGCATGTCTAGTCGTGCAGGGCTGGTGCTGGGAGGTAAGTAAGCCGAGGGACTGGAGAGGAGTGAGCCCCCTTTATCTCAGTGTGGGTGCAGGTGTGTGTGCGGGGGGAAGGGCACCGCCCCGGACCCTGGTGGGTGCAGAGACAGTGCTCAGAGCATGAATCACGGATGCAGTCAAGCTGGGCTTCGTGATAACTGCAGCGAATCCTTTAATCTTGCATAGAGAGATGAGGTCACGCGCCAGTTATTAGAGAATATCCCTTTCGCACCTCTAGATTCCAGGCTTTGCCTTGTTTCCACCAGTAAAGACTCTTTTATTAAACACTGTACATTTTGTTACAATTCAGGTAAAGTTAATTTAAATGAGGCAAAAGACCTCATAGCCATTTATAGCCTGTCTCTTCCTTTGCTTCTGCCCCATAGCCACGCAGTCTCAAATGCTATCAATTTTCTTTCTTCTTTCTTTTTCTCCTTCCTGTCTGTCTCTTTCCCTCCATTTTCAGCATGTAGTTGACACTCACCTATTCACCCTTGAAGTCGCAGCTCGTACTTCACTTCTCCTGGAAACACTTCCCCGACCTTCCCACCTCCCCTCCCATGCTGGGCTGGCCAACTCAGGCGCTGCCTTCCCGATGCTTCAGTTAGGAGGTGGATCACAATTGGCTATCATTACTGGTTGACCCTCCTCTGTGGCTGCATGACAAGCCACCTTACAACTTAGTGGCTTAAAACAACAATTTATTATTATTGTTCTTTCTCACGGTTCTGGAGTTTAACTGAGCTCGGCTACATCCCCGTCTCTGGGTCTCTCCACAGCTACTCTCAGAGGGTGAATGTCAGTGGTAGTCAGGGCTGGGGCTGGGACCATCTCCAAGGCTTCGTCGTGCACATGGCTGGGGCCCAGGCTGGGAAAACTCAAACAGCGGGGGCCCTTTGGGCAAGTCTCCATCTCTGTGTGGCCCTTCCTCATGGCCTCTCCTTCACAGCAGCTTCAAAGTAGCCATACGTCTTACACAGCCACTTAAGGCTCCCAAAGGCACGTGTCCCAAGAGATAGCGAGCCAGGAAGAGCCCGTGTTACTTTCTGTCACTTAGGCCAATCACACAGTGCCACTTCTGCCACAGTCCTGGACCACCAGCATTCAGTGGGGAGGGAATATAACTTGCCTACGAGATAAGATCTAAACCCTTTTGCATGACAAGAGTTTAGTCAAGGTCTTTTGCAACAGCTTCGTGCTGACTCACTATTGATCAGTGACACCTGACGTTTTCATGCTCCACAGCTGTGACCATCTTGCCCCTCCTGACCTGGGGTTTCCCCTCTGACCTACCTTCTCCAAACCTTCTCCATCTTCTCAAGTCACTTATCCTCTTATACCACCTCCATAAACCTTTCTTGACCACCCCCCCCCAATAGAGGGCTCTTTGCCCTCTGTTACTGGCTGTGCCCAGTTAGTTAATCAGGCTCTTTACACTTCAGCTTTCAAAGCGTTACGGTTGATGTAAGGGGCTGACAAGTTCCTTGAGGACAGAGTCTCCCACAGCAGCTCATGTGGCACTACGGAGCTATTCACATGGCAAGAACAGTACCATTTTTTGAACAAATTAATTAATTAACAATTAGGTCACTCCTCCGCCTGCCTTCCTCATGCGAGGCTTTTGTGTTTCTTCGACTGAGCGACAGGGGTTTGTTGTAACTTTCCACTGATCTCCTCTGCCTGCGGTTGCTGGGCTGCGGCTCTGGGTTCAGCCCTTGCGTGGGCACCCTGCCCCCTCCACCATCGGAGCCCAGAAAGTGAGGAAGGTTTGGATGCGCATGGAGTAACCACACCATGATACTTTTATTGGTGTTTATTTTGTGCTGGAAGGTCTGTTCCGACTAAAGCCAAGCAGGACCAGATGTGGCAGGCGGAGCTCTGTAGCCAAATCCATTCTTAGCTCCATTTTATGAAAAGAGGAGGAAAGACAACAGGACTGTCAATGCTAAGAGGGGTTCTGGAGATGCCAAAAACCTCACGCCGACCCTTTCCAAACACAGACCACTGGCATATTCCTGCACAGCGGTCTCACACCAGCAGCACCCACGTTTTCATCTGCTTTGCCCCTTGGGCACCTCTCCTATCCACCTACTTTCTGCATCCCTTGGCCCAGAGACCCTCCAGCCTCTCCCCGTAGCCAACACACTCCATCTCCTATTCTGCTTGTCAGACTCAGTCGCCTGAGGAGCAGGCAGGCAAAGAGGCGACCATTTTCCCTTAAAGAAAAGCAAGAATAAAATGCCTATTATGTGGCCCCGAATTCTTATTTCTGGGTCACAGTTCACTGAGTCCTAGAAGCTTGAAATTGAAGGAGACCCTAGAGATGACCTAGATCATCTCTTTATCTCTGCTGCATCTGATGACAGACCACCCTGGCTTGCTTGATACACAGCATCAGCTTCGAGAGGGAGGACCTCCCTCCACAAGTTACTTGACAAGAGACCTGGTGGCATGTGGCAGGGAAGCTCTGCTGGCAGAGGGGCGATAGAAGAGTTTGCCTTAAATGTGATGGCTGTTTGTATTTTACAGTCATATACCCCCAAGAGAATATGAAGAAAACTTTAGATCATCTTTTCCAGAAAAGAGCATATAGACGTGATATTCTGCATAACTTTTAATAGGTTCGAAGACGCCCCAAACCCATCTGTAGATGCCAAGAATCCCTGATGTAATGTTGTTTTTGAGAACCAAGCAAATGAAACTGGTCCATGGACTAAAACAACAGTTACGTTAATTTGACCTTGGAGAAGAAAAAAAATCAAGCCTTGGAAATGGAAAATTGTATTTTCAATTGTTGCCCCACACATCCCTCTCATCACCCATCTGGGCCAACTGTGTCTCAGAGACACTAAGATGGTTAAAAAACAGTGAAAAAAGTGAGGCAGCCTTGCAAGTGATTTTGTGGGGCCACGTATTTCCTTGACAGGCTCGCCACATTGTGTGGAGAGATGCCACCCTCCTCACCATTGTGTGTTGGCAACTCCTAGGATTCTGAAGGCTAATGATCTTATGAGCCCAGAGCTCACACATGTTGCACCTTTCAAAACCTTCACTTCTCTTTTGTTTGCAGCATTTCCCAATGACTTTTAAGTAAGTGTATTCTCTGTTGGCAGGAATGAGAGCATAAAGGGGGAGGTTTTCGTGCGTTCTTACCAAACCAGTGCCTTGTGTTTCTTGGTTGCTGACTGACTGGTGGGAACCTTATGGTCATAGCTGCAAAGGAGAACCCAGTTAAGTGCTGCCTGTAAGAACAAACCTGGGAAGGTTGCGTGGCACGTTCCATGGTATATTTCTTCAAAGCTTTCTTAGGTGTCTGAGTCTGGCTCCTGGAAGGGGAGCTGTGCTTTCCGAAGAACTCCGTGGACAGGGAGTTAGCCCCCTGGGATGAAACAATGTTGACAGCTGGGCCAGACATCTGGGGACGGGGAGACGTGTTGCGATGATTCTCAGGATCACTTCCTACTGGCACTGAAAAGAAGTTTTCTAGGATGCAAGGTGAGACAAGACAAGAAGCAGAGCTCCTTTCTCAGACCTCCTTAGCTCCTTGGTCTGAAAGGAACTAATCCATTCTTCTGCCTCCAGGCAACATGACCTTCAGATAGATTGGTTTTTTTGTTCTGCGTTTTTTTCAGCATTTCCAAAGGACATTCCAGCCTTCCTTAACCTTGCATTCCAGACTCTCCCAGTGCCTATTCTCAGGAAATACTTCCTCAGGTTTAACGTAAACCCCTCTCCCCGCAATGGGAGACCACTGGGGTCCTCCCAGGATTCAAAGAACAGCTGTCTGGCCCCTTGCCAGTCACACCACTCCGCGTTCCTATTGTTCGGGGGAGGGAGCGGCTCTGGGCGTGTGCGGATCGGCCCCTACCACCCGGGAGGAACCCGGTCCGAACCCCAGGCTCCTCTGAGGAGCCACCATGCACACGGTGGGCACTGCTCTCCGAGGAGTCTGACAGGATCACCGGTGACTTCTCACGCTCTGAAATCAGAAGTCTCGGCAGGGGCTTTGAGAGATGACTTGAAAGAGTGTTCTGCATCTTTATGGTGCTTTACCCAACATTTGTGCAGACATCAGTTCCACTGCAAGTG